TAAAGATTTAAAGTTTTAAAGGTGAGAAATATATGAGCTTATGCCCTGTCTCCATAACACTTGGCCCTACCCCTTCATTTTGGGCATGGCAGTGAAGCGTTGTCCCATTTCTTTATGTGATGTAGGGGTAGTGGCCATCTAGCTCCTTAAACACCCCTTCAACCGTAGTGCATTCCCCCTTAAAATTAAATGGTCAACAGAAATTCCTCAATGCTTTACCAATGGACAAAGGGACAGCTGCAGGCAAAATGCTCATGAATGTAAGTAAACAATTTTGCAAAACAACTGAATAAATACAATTTTTTTTATCCAGCGGAATATAATTTGTAATCCAGTAGCAAATGAAAATGTAATCGGATCGCTGTTACAAGCGTTTTGGGAAAATTTCTATTTACACCATAAAAACAACCATGTTAACAGCCTGAGAGCGAGTAACGAGTAATGTTCGTTACTCCCATGTCCCATAAATAACGATTGAAAAAAACATCCCTGCTCATGATACATTGCTTTCAGTGCTAGGCAGGCAGTTTCTCTGTACATGACTAATGGTACATTGAAATAACCAATGTAAACACACTTACTGACTGTGTATTGATCAATAGATGAATCTGTCCTGTCAGATATGTCATTGTTATAATGTTGGTCGATAAGGTTGTTAGTTAATATTGTTTGTCACAGCAATAATGTCGATTGGCTGCTGATGACGTAACGAGTGGTGTCCCAATTCCTTTGGGAACATCCTCTTGCCCTCTCCCTTGTGGCTCTGTTTGAAGATGGACTCTCCCAGCTAAGGTCACTTCATATCTAAGGGTAAGGCCAAGGGAGAGGAACTGGGACAGGGCCTTGTTACCTACTTGATCCAAATCATGGTGTTGCCTAAATGGACGTATACCTGCCACTCTCATCTGTATCTCTGTCGACACAATCTCCAGACCCATGCACACAAATTTTCAAAATAAATTCTGCTTTGTATGAGTAGTTAGGGTGACGAAATGACCATTTTGCTCTTACTTTGAAGATACCAGCACCTTTATTGTGTGTCTGTGTCCGAAATGTTGAAATAAAAATGATCAAATTGTCAAAATGAGCAGTGAGGGCAATTTTGACCTATGTTTTGACCCAGTGACCGACCCCTGCTGTAGATTATACGAGGATATAGAAGGTCCACAGACTGAGGGCACACTGTTCTGCCTCCACTGACTTTGATGTAAAAACTTGCAGTGAAGATCAAATGTCAGAGGCATGACGTCCACAGTGGTGTAAATCATATATAGTCGAGCAGCTTTTACATCTACAGAACCCTCAAGTGTTCAGCCAGACGTCTGGTGGAATGAAAGGTATTGAGCCTGTTTTCTCAGCCAAGAAGTTGGAAAGATTAGAACTAGAGCAACATGTTTCTCCACCACAGGGACAGTTAATCTCCAGTGTTCACCCCCAAAACCTTATCAGTCTCAGGGGCAGAGAGATCATGCCTAAGTATTCTTAACTGGAAATCCACTGTGACTTCTGGAGGACACTTGGAAAGAGCAGTAAACACCAGACTGCATCTTATGTGACCTCTGCTGTAATCCACACTGAGCCGAGACACGAGACTCGACCACAACAATACTAATACCGTCACAACCTACTAAATTAAATTTGACTGTGGAGCTTCCCAAATGATGGTTTCAATAATTTTCATTTAGGGATCCCTACATATATGTGATTTTTCCATCTCCATGTGTTTTCTTGTGTACACTTACACGTGGTTTACAAAGCTCAAAAGACAGACATTGTTTTCCTCATTTCTAAAATCAATTTTGCAGCAGAGCGGATGAGCTTTGTTTCCCTTTCTCAGATCTCCGCTGTTTTTCACGGGGAACAGATACTGCATGTTGTCCAGTCTTTCCTTTTTGATTGTGTTTGTTTTCGAGCGCCTGAGTATCCAGGTTGTGTTCAGGTCTCCCTGTGTTTGTTGGAAATGGCAGCTCTGTTTAATGAGCTCAGCCACGAGGGGGGGCGGGTAGTAGTAACTATGAATTCACTACCCAGAGTGCCCCTTTGTCTGACGTGCCACCAAGTAAGACTTACTTGAGTGTGTTACCATAACAACGGCGGTGTGTTGAATATGTGAGCGTGAGGCTTTTGGGAGGGGTGGGCGAAGACAAAGACGCCCACTTTGTTTGTCAAAGTGTGAAGGGCAGAGGGAAGGTTTCAAAACCAGAGAGCTCTCGACAAACAGTCTGACGACAAAATCTGCAGAGCTGGATATATCACAGGTGCTGGGTTCAGTGGTGGAGTTTTACTTTCCCCTAAGTTTTACGTAACTTTTCAATTTGTTAATAAAATGGTTAAAGTGGAGGAAAAATTGTCTAAAGTTTATATATCGATTTGAATAGGAGATGGAAACAAGCATAAAATGATTTTGTCCTGTGATGAAATTGTTCCTCTCTGTCCTCTTATGACTTGTCGAAATGTGATGCTTTTCTATTCGCGCCAAGCACCTCTAGCAGACGAACATACACATCTTATGCATATCTGTCTTGTATGTCAGGATGGCCGAGTGGTCTAAGGCGCCAGACTCAAGGAATGATTCCTTCCTTCTCAAAGGTCAAAGGGTCTTCTGGTCTCCAAATGGAGGCGTGGGTTCAAATCCCACTCCTGACATATATTTAACACAAAGGCAGTCATCCAGCTAGTTACACAGGTGAACTATATTGATAATCACACTTTGTCAATAAGAACAGAATCTGTGACATCTTGTGAGTTTTAGGGGCAACATGAAGCAAACAAAATAAGACAATCCTTTATTAGTCCCACAACAAGGACATTTGAAAAAGTACACATGTAATTGAACTTTACTTGTCTTAAGCATCTCCATGCAAATTAATTTCATGGGACAAAGAGGAAATCCAATCAATAAGAGATGTGGGCTGAGCTTCCTCAATACAGGCTCACTCATGGTTCCTAGTCTAGAGGTAGAGTCTTGCCAGGCTCAAGTCCTGTGGGGCCAGAAGCTGAGTGGTGTAGAGCCCAGGCCACACTGAAAACACAATGTTGCTTTTCATTTCAATGTTCAAGTGATCAGGTTAGAGCAGCCACACTGCCCTGTGTGTGAGTCACGGTGCTTTTGTAGAGAGTTGGGGTGTCACCTATTTTTGTTCACAGCAAAATAAACAGTGAATATGAAATTTACAGCTGTTTCAATGTCTATATCTGTCAGATATGTCACAGATATAGTTATTTACAACACATCCCGCCTCTGTAAGGTGCAAGACTCAAGGACTGACTACTTCCTGGTAAAATGGTCCACACATTAGTCAGGAATTTTTTTGCTGTAATTTCTCTACAGTCATTTACCTGTCAGGATGGCCAAGTGGTTTAAGGCACCAGACTTAAGTACTTGCTCCCTTCCTGGTCAAAAGGTTGTCTGGTCTCCAAATGAAGGCATGTGTTCAAATCCCTCTCCTGACACATGTTTTCCCCCACTGTTATGTTGTTGTCTGGAGATGTTCAAGAAACACACCTTTCTTTCCTCCTGCCTGTCTTAAATAACATTGTTTCCTCTCCCCAAATGAAGTTCAAAGAAAGCTCTTTACATTTATATTTCCTTTACACAACACACAGTCAGGATAAAGTAAAACAAATATATAATAAATATATATAAACTTGTGGCGCATGCATATGTCTGAAATGTTGGCTGGGGGATTCACACCAGTAGGTCTAAAGCGGTAGCTAGGGGACAGGGGCTCTCCAACATGTAGTGTGAGTTGCAGGGGCAACATGAAGTAGTTAAGTTGGCAAAGCAAGATAAAACAATCCTTTATTAATCCCACAGCAGGGAAATATGCTGTGTTACACCAGCAAGCAGGACTTTCAAAGCAGAGACTTCAGTAAAGTTAAAATAAGGAATCATATTATAGGACCTTACTTTTCTGAAGCATCTGATCTTCTGGTTGTGGGTTCCAAACTTAAAAAAACCCACACCTGTCAGCCATGTTTCTGCATGGAGACTGTGTTCCTTTCTACGCATGTTTAATTTAGATTACAGAGAGGCCAACGTGAAATTCAGTTTGAATGTCGGAATAACTGAAGTAACCACAGCACTAAGATAGTTGCACATGAACTGACAGACTCTGTTCGTAACAGAAAAAGTGTGGCTTTTGTAGTTGTGATGTCACTTTTGCATGTTTGTTTTCTGTTAATGCACTTGGGTGAGACCTCTAGGCCACTGTACTTTATCGTGAGAGTGGGCACAGATTAGCTGTTGGGACATTTTGAACACTTGATGTATGGAATCCTTACTCACGTAATCCACCCATCTTGAACTCCACAGATCCTCCGTATTTTGTCTGAAGCAGCTTTTCGCCTCTCGCCTACATGCGGAGGATTTGTTGCTGTTGTGAACATGTCTGTGCAGAGAACCTCCCACCGTGTTTGGCATGTGTGAAAGGAAAACTCTGAGTAAACTCTGGACACGGTTCTTACCCAAGTCATATCTGAAAATGGCTTCATAGGCAACACAATTCTCAAAATAATCATATGACAGTGGGCTCTGGTAAAACACAAAACTAATTAATATTTATCCAAAAACATGCAGTGAAATGTTCCATAAACTGTAAAAGTTATTTCAGTTTCCCTAACTTCACCACTGGAGATGGACACGTGTTTTTCCATCTAATCGGCTGCTTAAGTAATCGCAGGGAGGCTGAATTGTAGGGGATGGGGGAACAGTAGTGGATTTTTTCTTTTTTTTAGGGGGGGGGGTTATCATGTTATATTCCCCCTCAGGGAAGGACACATGACCCCACATTACGGAGAAAAGGAGCAAAGAGAAAAAAAGGACTGGAGAGTGATGTTGGGCCCCGCTGCTCTGAGCTCTTCAATGAAAACCACATGTAGGACTGGGAGGGGGAAAGTATTGTGTGTGTGTGTGTGTGTAAGAGAGAGAGGGAGAGAGAGAGAGAGAGAAACAGAAGGGGGGGGGGGGTGTTAATGACTAAAAACCCAGCCTCTGAGAGACTGAGGAGGGACTCATTCTGAGCACCACTGACATTCCCAACAGGCAGGGGAGAAGCCTTGTGTGTGATATACAGCAAAAAGAAAGTGTGCATGTGTGTGAGTGGGTGGGAGTGTGTAACCACTGGAGGAGCCTGTAACAGTTCAACACAATCAAGCGTCTCGCACAATCTGAGCACCGGGCTTCAGGACGGCTGCTGGACAGAAAGCTGCCTTCAAGTGTCGAGTGAAAGAAGAGGAGAAAAGAATTCCCAGTGGCCGGTGTGATCTGTTTTGTTTCTGCCAGAGGAGAGACAAGAGGAAGAAGGGAAGACGAATTAGAAGAAGAAGAATTAGAAGTAGTAGATCGAGAAGAGGCCAACATGTCCAACGCACTGCTGAGGAGAAACTCCAGTAAACAGGGTTTACAAAACCTTATGAGGTATGTGGTCGATCTCTCTTCATTTCAGCTGCTGGTTTCTGTTTGGTTTTGATGTACACAAACAGAAAGAGAGAGGCAGCTGAGGTTAATATTTAAACACAACACACACTTTGAACACACACAGACACACACTTCAGGTTGGTTAGAATAGACATGAGGTAAAGATGTCTAAATGCTTTTCTGGCTCAAAAGGAGAAATTAGAAATGTGACATTTTTACTGCAATTTGAAAAGGTAACAGCCGTAACTGCAGATGAAGGTAAAGAGTGTTGTTTTCATATTTTGTGTGTCTGTTACATTTTCATTGTGTGGTAAACACATCCGTCTAAATGAGAACAGTGGGATTAGGGGGAATGTTTTGGGTCATGCAGGGTGGTGTGCAGGGGATTTGGGGGATTTTGGAATCGACTTACCTCCTTTCACATGAATTAATTGAGCATAACAAAGAAACAATTACAAATCATTATGCTCAGTAATTATTTTCCTTTTTAAATCACAAGCAAACATCATAAGTAGCAATAATCAGGAAAATGAGGGCAGGAGTCCTTTTCATTTTCAGTCTACAGTGAGTGTGAGGTTTAGGACATGCTGGACGCCCGAGGCTGCTCCGCTTCACTCTGAAGGGAAGTGGTGCCGGTGACCTATGACAGAGGTTAAAGGTCACCTGAGTCAGTCTTTTGTTTTTGGGTGCTTATGGGTGGCGACACGTCCTGTCATTTGGGGGGAGATCTGCATTTTCATCCTGTGTCAGGTTTCCAGTGTGACACCCCCCCTTCCCTGTGGTTCTGTAACAGAGGAGATAACAGCTCATTCTGCGGCTCAGACTGTAATACTGGGAGATTTTGGCCTTCGGGATGGTGACTGTGTCAGATTAGATGACTACATTCGAGCTGTGACTTGAAGAGACATGGCAGACTATATGTTGGACATCGTCCAGTCAAAACCTGCTGTCTGACTTGACTTATGTGACACGCACTGATGTGACTGTATCTTTTCTCTCTTCCAAATCTTAGCATCACATCTTTTCTGTTGAAGAGGCTTACATTGATCTAGAACCAATGGTGGAAAATACAAGTACTCAAGTACCGAACTAGAGAATTGATCTTAATAATTATTTTTAGTGGCTAGTCATATTTTCAAAGGTAAGCAAAGTTTTTAACATCTGGGGCCTGAGATCTCTTGACAAATTGAATTGTTCCTGCTTTGGGGCCCTCTGCATTTCACATGTCTATGAGTTGTTTACAGTTTCATTAAAGAGACATTTTCTCTTACACAGATCGTGTTGAACTGTTCAAAGCCCAAAGAGGGAACAAAAAAGGAAAACCTTTTCTTTCCCAACAATCCTCTCTAGACCCCTCACATTTATCTTGTGACTCATTGGAGAGGCCCAACCCCTGACTGGGGAACCACTGGATTAAACTACCTAACCTGATATAAAGTAGTTAGAACCAGCGCCACCTGTACACTGTATTATGAAACATATAAGAATATGTCATTCAAGGGCCATTTTTCTTATGATCTTGAATGCAGTGATGAGTTGGGGTGTTAATACTATATTCTTTATGTCATGAGATGTCAGTTGTCTTCCATTTGTGAACACTGAAGAAACCAGACAATGCTAACTTTCATTACTGACTGTCCATGTCTGTAGGGTCGGGCCATATAGAATCAGACGTGGAATCAGAATCTAGCGCAGTCAATGAAAGCTAGTGTCGGGAGATAGTCACTTGACTTTGACATGAGTTATAGACTTGGGTCATAATTCTGAGGACAAAAATGAACCAACTTTACAGAAAAGGTTTCGTTATCTGATGAAATGTATTCATTCTCCTTCTGGTGGAGAGTAAGATGACAGAATTAATTAACTCTGAAATTGGTCAACTTATTTCCAAAACAGCAAACATAAACACCTGTAACTGTATTATCTATTTAACTGTATAGAACTAAACACAGTCTGGCTGCAGTCAGCAGCTTCTCAAGGTCGGGATTCCTTCAGTGTTCATGGGTCAGGGGCTGATTATCCTCAGAGGTCTCCCCATCTTTAAATCAAACTTTTCAAAGACTTTTAATATAGAAGTATTACATCTTGTTCCTTTCAATAAAAAGAAAAAACGATTCCATTACATTGGGCTGTCAGAAATGAGTCAAAGAGAAAACTCTTTGTGGTGACTTTCCACATGATGACTTTGTACAGAAAGCTGATGCATGACTTTGTCTCTGTAGTGTAGCAATATGTTATTGCTCTGTGAGTGTGGAGGTGTAAACCTCTGAGTCACAGTGAAAGCAGCTGTCAGGCTGTATGTTCATGCAGTAACAGCTGGCCTCGCTCTGACTCAGTCCATTCAGCAGATGGAGTCAGTCTGGTGGAGCTGACATCACTCACCAAACGGATGCCAGAAAACCGTCGCAGTACGTGGGCATCTCCGCTGAGCTGTTTGACACCCACCACTCTGTCACACAATGTGATTCATCCCGCATTTCTCAGGGTTGAGCTTATTAGGAACCCGGCTGTTTTGCAGTAATTTAGTTTTTTTCCATTAGGTCTTAATTCTGGTCATAAACATGCCGTTAATTTACTCCACATTGGTAAACATTAAATACACAGTCGGCAATTAATCAGCAACTAATTCAATAAGGGAATCATTTTACTTTTGAAGGTTTGATACCAAATGGGGACAAATGTAGAAACCTCAGAGAGAGCAACATGTGAGGGATCCCTCTCCCAGGACGGACAGAAATGACATAGATGCCACGCGTAACAGAGCCGATCAACAAAATAACAAAAAAACATTCATTAGAAAAGACAATGTCTAACATACATAGATAAATGTATTTACAAAAGAATAAGGAGCAGCAATGACACTTGTAATCAGAGAGGTACTGCCAATAATACTAGTATATGTGAGTAGGTATATTGTATAGCTAAGCAATTCTCTTTTTTGTTGAGCACTTTAAGGACCTCATCAATGTTGAGTTACATTTTAAAGTTCATCCTTGACCAGAACCTGAGCGCAGCTCATGTTACAACACAACCTTTTTACTCGCAAGATGTGGGAAAGAAAAAAGAAAAAAGTGAAAAGTAATAAAAATAGAAAAAATAAAAGCAATTGCAGAAGTGGAACAATGTTCAAGCATGAGCTTTTTCTACCATGCTGAGTAATGAAAGAGGAGCATTTGATTTGGAAATCCTTGTTCAAATTAACAGCCTGTTGTTTTCTCTGTAGATACAACTGTTATACGATTTTTTTCATTCCATTTCTCGCACCATCTTCTTTATCTTTGAAATACTTTTTGGTTGATGTCAAACTTCCGACAAAAGCTTTGTGTGACCAGCACTATCTTTATCTAAAAGCCTGCCTGTGAATCATCATCATCACAGTGTCACTGTACCACAAACAGACACAAACCGAACAAACAGAGAACTCACACAAAACGTGTTATCAGACCGGGAGCTGTTTATTGCAGGGGTTCAAGGCAGGTATGCTCCAGGGTCAATCTGTTTTAAATCAGCTCTTTCTGTGAGACAAACACCCCCTGGCCAGCACTGATGTCATCCAGGAGGCATACCTGCTTTCAAAACAAACTGACCACTGTGACCTGTGACCCCTGAATCCCACACACATGGGTGGGTTACCTCAGTGTTTATGATACAGGGAGATAAAATGCTGAGGAATGTTTTTCGGGGGCGGGGGAGTTAGCCGATGAGTGATGGGGCCACTGAACTCCCCCTCCCTCCACAGGTTGTCTGCATTAAAAGAACAGAGGGAAAGTAAACACAGCAGGGTTTCCTGTTTCCAGAGGTCGTATCTGTGTGAGCAGATGACAGGGTTTTATCTATTTGACTCCCATGTCGTCACAAATGGGACACTTGGTCTGGTCATCACAAGGCGCAGTGCATGGTCTGAAGGGTGAGACCTCATGATAGCATTTTGTGTAATAAAGGAGCAGTGTGTACAATTACATTTTTAAGGATCTCTATGCAAAAAATGGGATATAATTCTCATATCTATGTTATAGTAACTGTTTATCTACCAACAAATAAAAACTGTAGTGTTTTTGTGAGGGTAGAATGAGCCTCATTTACTGTCTAGATAACAACTGATAATACTAAGTGTCACAAAATTTTACAATTGAAAGGAGAGTTTGGCATTATTGCTTGTACATTGTATGGAGGGCAAAATTATTGTGGAAATACAATAATTATCGTACATCTGGCAATGATCAGCTGGTGCGTCAGTCACAACGGGAGGAAAGAGTTCTGAGCTTTGTTCTGATGAGGGAACTGATGCCAAATATGTTTCAGGACAATCTCATGTTAAATTGTATTGCTATGAAAGAGCTTCACACAAAAGTAAGGCTGCAATGTTTCTAACCGCCAAGGTAAATTAAATGTCACCTTGAAATACTGTGTGAACATGAAGTGGGAGATTTTCACTGCATCTCAAGCTCAAGTTCATGGTTCAGTTCAACGAGGACACATCAGTGGGAAGTGTATAATGTAATCTGAGGTTTGCAATAGAGAAAAACGTACGTACATGTTATTCAACCTTATTATAGAGGACAGGAGACAGGAAGGATCACTCACCAAGACAGTGGTAGTTTAGTAAAACAAGCTGTTGATGGAAACTCTCAGTAGAATCTTTGTACATCCTGGAGGTCACTGTGTTGATGGGAGGCGGCTTGTTGTTGATGAATGGGATCCTCAGAGTCAGATTCTTGAACAGCCACACATCTGACACTCATTTACAACTACTCTGAAAAACATTAAGCTGCTTTTGTCGGATGATATTTGGTAAAGTTAAATGTTTGGCCACTAATTTAAAGTCTAAGCTGTATACTGAAGGTTGGTCAGCAACATGGAGTTCTTTGAGTTTAGAGAGGAGAGTATATCCATATAGACAATAACTATATAGACCATATCCTTCCTCACATATTCAACTATTCTTGGAGAATTTCCCAGCTTCTCTGCTGTCAGGGAAACTGTGAGGACACTAACCTCTT